GATCCAAGATTGGTTGTCACTTACCTGTGAGGCGAGCGGTGGAGTCCGGTGGAGGAGGAAGACGGCGGCCATAGCCGCGGAGCATTGACATAGAGTGCCAGAGGAGAGAGAAAGAGAGGACAGAGAAGGAGGGACTAAGGAGAGAGAAGAAGAAGTGTGGGAGGAGGAGGTTGGAGAAGAAGGCAGACATAGCCGGGGGCGAGCACATAAAAAAAAATACAGCGGAAGTGAAGGGAAAGAAAGTGAAGGACGGGGAAGTAGACGGCGAGGGTGATGAAGGTGAAGGTGCCGGCAACCATAGCCGAGGTGAAGGGTTGACCGGGCGTTGACCAGGGCGTTGACCAGAGGGTTGACCAAGCATTGACCGGGGCTTGTCTGCGTTGACTCGGCGTTTTCCAAGGCGTTGACCGGAGCTGCTGACCAAGATTGTGACCAAGCTGGAGTTGGTGATATCTCGTTGAACCTTCAGCCTATCCCCTTACCCTGTGGATTTTCACTTACCCCACGGTACTTGCTAAGTCTGTCTGTCTACTCTTTCTGCATTGAGTCTCTTTTGTCCTAGGTGCTAGGAATCTGTGGATGAAGGATAGGGCCTTGCTGCCAAACCTGCACGGGCTTAGTAGGACCAAAGCTCTACTCTGGCACTTGGAGACCTGGGGATGAGCGGCGAGCGCTTGTTAAAAAACTCGTCTAGCCCAATGGCCGGTACTGTCCGGCAGGTCTACTAAGTTCAGTGTGGAGGGTCTGAACTCCGAGTTGTAGGCTGAAACGAAGGCCGTCTTTAAGTGTTGAGGCCTGGTTGAGTCACTCCTCTACCGGACCCAGAAGGCTGATGATCCGTGCCTGACGACTCGACTGTCCCGAGGGATACGAACCCCTCCAAGGACCGGTACTGACCGGCGGGCTGCTCGGTGTGGCACAAGAGGCTGGACAGACTGAGTTGTGGGCTGAAATCGCCAGAGGAACCAAGCTGATCGCGTCGTCCTGTCTGCAAAACGTTAAAGAATTCTTGAGAGTTTAGGGGATCTCCTTAAATGCCTCTTGATCAGCTCTTGGTTCTGTAGTGACAGCCTTAGAGTAGTCTTGGGTTAGTAGTGGCCATAGTTGACAGGGTCTTATCCTGTGGTCCGTAGGAAGGAAGTTAGTAGGTTAGTGTGTCTGGGTAGGGCTACGTGGTGAGGAGTGGGACCCTTGTCATGCACCAACACCACGATGGACGACTACCCGATGTATGGGTTGCTGGTTGGGTTCTCCCTCTGGGGGACCCTCTGGTGTCTCCTCTTTCCTCTGGGATTTTGGCATACCTTTGCGTGTAGAGTAGGGCCCACTCGAGGTGGTACCGCCACCCAACCATACACGAAGGAGGAGGAGGAGAAGATGGCCGCCATCCTGCAGGAGAGGAAGGAGAAGAAGGAGGCCAAGAAGAAGGCCTTGAAAGAGGAATAGGCAGCCAAACTAAAGAACATGGAAGAAGAGATGGTCAGGGAGAAAGAGAGGTTGAAAAAGGAAGAAGAAGAGAAGCTGAAGGAGGTGGATGAAGAAGAGGAAGGACCGCCACTGCAAAAGAGTGGGCATCACAGCGGCAACAGCAGTGATGAGACGGAGAAGAAGATTTCGGCGTGGGTCGCCAACTTATCCCTGGGTGAGGAGGAATAGGTTGCTATGTACATCGCCAAGGATGAGCAAGAAGCCGCCATGAAGAAATGGGAAGCAGAAGAAGATGTTCTTACGCGGCGGGCGATGGAGGATGAACAGAGGATGGCGTGGAAGCTCGCAGTGATGAGGGAGAAGAAGAGAAGAGTGGAGGCGGCGAATGCAGCAATGCAAGAACTAGCGGAGGTGAGGACTGCCTTAACAACACAATTGACTCTGCGAGTAGATCTCCAACGCAAAGTGGAGATCATCGCCCAGAGCTTTGACCGGTTAGCTCAAGTGCAAGAAAAGCACTATGAGCTTAGTCGCAGCCAGGAGATATCCGTGCGTTCGATGCGAACGGGATTACGGGATTTTGCTCGCGGACTAGTAGGCGCTGTGGGATCCGAGGTGAGTTATCGCCTCGAGAAGACTGAGCGTTTTTGTATCGTCGCCATCGAAGGCGTCAAGGTGGCCGCTCCCAAGGAGGAGAAGGCCCGTCCTCGCAGGGAGCCAGTCAAAGTCAAATTCCCTGATTCCTACAGTGGGAAAAGGGAAGAGAACTTTGACAATTGGGAGGCCAATGTTAAGACCTATGTGCATTTGCAACAGGTCTCCCCGGATCAGCAGGTCTTAATTGCGATCCATGCACTTAGAGACGAGGCCCCCAGTTTCGCGAGATCCCCTGTTCGTGTTGCCAATTGTAGTGACGATCTTGTTGCGTAATCCTCGTTTACGTCCCTCATTGAATTCTTGAAGCTGTTGCGCGAGCATTTCGCTGATGTTGCCCGTAGTGTCAAAGCCTCAGATAGGCTTCAGACAATACACTCGCGCCAATGGAAGAGTGCAAGGGCACTCAAGGGCACAATGGATGAGTTGGTGGCTGTTCCTGACCACAAGGTCACGGAAACCCAGTTGGTCAACCTTTTSTACTGGGCTATGCCTGAAACGCTGCGTGGTCACTTCTTTGACAAGAGTCAGGACCCTGCTATGACTTATGATATACCTAGCAGGGAAGTGGTCGCGTTCGAGGCGAAGTTTGCGTCGATTTCCACCTTCTGGCACAAAGATTTAGACAAGGGCAAAAAGTGGAAGGGCCGCACTATCTCAGGGCAAGTCAAGACCAAGGATAGCCTTGTGCTCACTTTAGATGAGAGTAGTGTGGACGAGATCCCCTACGACCAGATTGAGTGGGGGTTCGAGGAGGAGGACAGTAGTGTGGGCCAGGGGAGGACCTACGTTGCTGTCGCGGCTGGAGGGAGGCCACAAGGAGGACGAGGCCAAGGCCAAGGGGGTCGGGCCTCAGGGAGCTGGTTCCAGGGCGATCAGGGGGTTGGCGGCAGAGGGGTCAAGGTCCCCCGCAAAACCATCCTAGGAACAGGTCTCCCTATAGAGTAGGAGGATGGCACCCAGGGCTACCTCAGGGTAGGTCGTGGGAATCTTTGGGTCTGGACCAGGATTTATGGCAACAACGATTGAACCAGGGCCAGTGCATTTTCTGCGGTGACCCGGGGCATATCATCAAATATTGTCCTAAGTATCGAGAGACCTGAACGGCTGCTCAAGAGCCAAAAGGCAGCCGCCGGTAGGGGTAGCAGCTGCCCCTACCACTAGGCCATGTGGGAAAAATAGCGCTAGCCGGCAGTAGACTCCCACACCACATGTGCCTACGGCAGAGGTTGCAGGCCGGTGTCTAGACAGCTGTCCCGAGACTGCTTGTGTTAGAGTTTCGCTAGACACCTCCCTCACTGGCGTGGCGGAAGAGTTGAAGGAGAGGAGGCCCGCCTGGGCCAAGATGAAGAAGGAGAATAAAGGGCAACTGATTTTATTAGATGCAGAGATTTTTAGAAGTAGAGTAGGGGCCCTAGTAGACTCAGGGGCCACCCGCAGCTATATTGGTAAGCAAGCGCTGCAGAAGTTGAGGCTGGGACTTAAGGTCCAGAAACTGACAGACCTCATAGTTAGTATCCTCGCTGACAATCGTACCATGGTTGTAGAGGATTACGTAGAGGGAGTTCAGGCGTATTTCCGCCTAGAGAAAGATGGGAAGGTGGAGAAGGTCCTCCACTCCCTGACTCTCCTCGTAGAGGACAGCCTCCCGTTTGATATAGTACAGGGAATGGATTGGGGAGAGGCAGCCGGGGCAACGCTCCATCTAAAGGAGCACAAGTGTAAACTCCCTAGTTCTGCAGGCGAGGCTAAGACTGCCCGCCTGTTTCATGTGTCAGGAGTAGAGAGTTCCTTGGCACATTGCTGCCTTAGTGCCCCTGCGTTCGTCAGATTGGTGAAGAAGGAGAAATTAGAGGAACAGGTCTTTGTTGCCTATGTTAGGTCCGTCACTGAGCCTACGGAAGAGAAGCCGATGGACCCTGCGATTGCCAAGCTGCTGGAGGAGTTTAAGGATTTGACTGAGACGCCGACAGGCACGGTGCCGCGGCCCATCCAGCACCGTATCGAGATAGAGCCTAGCAGTAGAACTTCGCAAGCAATTAGACGAGTTCCTCGAGAAGGGTTGGATTAGGCCCAGTTCGTCTCCTTTCGGAGCGCCTGTCCTCTTTGTTCCTAAGAAAGAGGGAGAGCTGAGAATGCGCATAGACTATAGGGGTCTGAATGCTATTACAGTAAAGAATGCTGAGCCACTGCCTAGGATCGACGATCTCTTAGATCGAGTGCAGGGGGCTAAGTATTTCTCTAAGATAGACTTGAAGTCCGTATATCATCAGATAGAGGTACACCCTGATGATCAGTATAAAACAACCTTCTGGACTAGGTACAGGCATTATGAGTTTATAGTGATGCCCTTTGGACTAACCAATGTGCCAGCAACTTTTCAGCGGTGTATGAATGATTTGTTTAGGCCATGGTTAGACAGATTCATTGTAGTTTATCTAGATGACATCCTAGTGTTTAGTCGGACCCTCGAAGAGCATCAGGGTCATCTCAGGCAAGTCTTGAAGAAGCTGAGAGAAGCTAACTTCAAGATCAATGCAAAGAAGTGCGATTGGGCGAAGACCCAAGTTTTGTATCTACGCCACATCTTAGACGGAGACGGCGTTAAGCCAGAAGATAGCAAGATCGCAGCGATTAGAGATTGACCCACGCCACGTACGCTAACAGAGTTGCGCTCGTTCCTGGGCTTAGCGAATTACTACAGAAAGTTCGTAAGGAACTTCTGCACCATCGCTGCGCCCCTTCGTAGATTGCTGAGAAAAGAGACAATCTGGAAGTGGGACAAGGACTACACGTCCGCCATGAAGAAGCTCAAGTAGGCATTGATAGAGTATCCGGTCCTTAAGGTCGTCGATCCGTCCTTGCCTTTTGTTGTTACTACGGATGTTAGCCGATAGGGCATAGGCGTAGTGTTACAGCAAGACGATGGCAATGGCTATAGACTCGTAGAGTTCATGTCCGCTAGGATGCCTTCAGAGAAGGTTGCGACATCTACCTATGAGAGGGAACTCTACGCTCTCAGGCAAGCATTAGACCACTGGAAGCACTACTTGCTTGGGAGGCACTTCAAAGTCTATTCGGACCATGAAATGTTACGGTGGTTAAAGACCCAGGCCAAGATGACACCTAAGCTTACTAGGTGGGCCGCAGAGATAGATCAGTACGACTTCGAGCTCAAGCCTGTCAAAGGGAAGTACAACGTAGTCGCGGATGCTCTGAGTAGGAGAGCAGATTACTTTGGGGCAGTAGTACATTACCTCGATATAGGAAAGGATCTGCAGCAGAAGGTTAGAGAAACCTACGCGCAGGACCCTATCTATAGTGAGCTCCTCACGCGAGTCAAGGAGGCCCCAGAGACCGAGCCGAACTACCGCACTACTGGAGGGTTACTCTTCGAGAAGACTAATGTCTTTGACCGGTTGTGCATCCCCAATAGCGAAGAGATCCGTAGTCTGATTATGGGGGAATGTCACGACACAGAGGGTCATTTCGGTTGGCAAAAGACTTTGGCCAATCTGATGCGCGCGTATACCTGGCCAGGGATGAAGAATGACTGCGTAGAGTATGTTCGCAGTTGCAAAGTCTGCCAGCGTAATAAGAGTTCTACGCGCGCCCCGCTAGGTCTTCTCAAACCCTTCCCCATTCCGGATCAGCCGGGAGACTCAGTGTCAATAGATTTCATGGACACTCAAGTCAAAAGCAGGCATGGCAAGAGCCAAGTCATGGTCATAGTTGACCGCTTTAGCAAGTACGCAGTTTTTGTTCCTTTGCCTTCTGAGGCGCGTAGTGATTTAGTCATACAGAGGTTCTTTGACTGTTGGGTTAGTGAGAACGGAATCCCGCTGTCCATAGTTAGCGGTAGAGATAGTCGCTTTACTAGCCAAAACTGGCAAGAACTCATGAGAGTATACGGATCTAAGTTGTTGAYGTCGTCCGGCCGCCATCCAGAGACCAACGATCAGACAGAGCAAATGAACAAGATCCTACAGCAAGTTCTGCGCATGTATATTAGGCCAGATCAGATTAACTGGGATGAGATGTTGCCTAAAGTAGCTAGTGCGTACAATAATAGCGTGCATCTAGCCACCTGCCGCACTCCCAACGAACTGCACAAGTCCTTTACACCGCGCAGGCCGTTTGAGGGACTCAATCGGGATCAGATTCAGAGATTGCCGCCCGGGACCCGGGAGTTCCCTGTACAGCACGAGAAAGCACTAGCTATTGTTGTAGAAAACCTCAGGAAAGCCCAGCATAGGTTGATAGAACAAGCAAACAAACATCGTCGCCCGTCACAGTTTCAAGTAGGCGACTTAGTCTGGGTTAGTTCGAAAGAGTTTGCACCTGAGGAGAACATCTCGCCGAAGTTACTGCCCACATATAGAGGACCATGGCCTGTTCTTGAAGTCAAGGGCGGTGAAGATGGACCGTCCTATACAATAGAACTACCAGCACACCTCCACACGTATCCAGTTTTCCACACATCAAAGTTGCTACCTTGTCAAACAAGTGATCAGTTTCCATCCCGTAGATCAATGATCCCACCTGATATGGATGGAAGATATGACATAGATGGTATAGTGGCTGAGGATGTCTTCAGAACCGGAGGTAGGGGTCGTCCGCAAAAACAGTACAAGGTTCATTTCAGTTATCAAGAACCGGAAGACGACCGCTGGTTTACAAGATCTGAACTTCTAGAGACAGCTCCCGATATAGTCCGGGCCTATGAAAGACAGCAGAAGGGTAAAGGTCCTGCCTTGGACTGAAATTTTCTCGGAGGACCTCGAATTTAGGCCGGCGGGAGTGAAACGGTATTCACCAGTTCGTAGTAGCAAATGCAGATCCCAGGGCTCGATCCCTAGTTCCCCATCTTACCTGTGTACAGTATTGATGACAACCCGTAGATTTGAACCTGCGACCTG